CAGAGCTGAGGAACCGGGACCGGGAGATGGAGGAGGCCGAGGAGCGGCACCAACTGGAGATCAAGGTGGGGCTGAAGGGCTCCAGGAGAGCCTTGGGCAGCTCTGAGGAGGAGCTGGGCAGGATGCAATCCAGGAATGTCTCACCAGCATCCCAGTTCCAGCTGTCTCCTGCTGAGCCCCTCACCCGGTCTCTGGCCTGCCCTTAGGTGTACAAGCAGAAGGTGAAGCACCTGTTGCACGAGCAGCAGGAGAACCTGACAGAGCTGAAGGCGGAGGGAGTGCTGTCCCTGAAGCGGGCCCAGAAGGATCACTGGGACCAGGAACAGGAGTTGTGGAAAGAGAAGCGTGCCTTGAACATAAAGCTGAAGGAGCAGGAGTTGGCCAATGAAGCAGCCATTACAAACCTCTGCCTGGTACATCTCTAGCTGGGCTGGAGCCACCTGTGAGGTGCCTCAACCCCAGGCTGGGAGCAGGAGTGGGATTTTGCCTCCCTGACTCTCTCCATGGGGTGGGATGGGATTTCTGGTGCAGGAATAGGGAGAAGGGATTCCTGGGTAACCATTCTCCCACAGTGGGGGGCTATGAGAGCAGCTGGAGAGCTTACAAACCACTCTCTGCATCAACATGGGATCAGAATCTTTTCCCAAAGAGCAGGAGGGAATCCCTGGGGATGGGCTGGCTTGGGATTTGGTTGTTTATTCCAACACGGAGTTTCTTCTCACAGAAACATGAGGGGGAGATGGCCCGGCTACGCAGCGACTTCGAGCTGCAGACCAAAGGTCAGGACGTGAGGCAGATCCTAGAGGAGCATGACAGAGAGCTGCTTCTGGTTCCCAAGCAGCACTTTGAGCATGAGGGAGCAGGTTCTCCCCAGTTCTGGCCATTTTTCCCTTCCCAGTTTTAGTCACCTTCACATCCCAGTTCTGGCTCATCTCCCCCACCCGAGGTTCTGGCCAGTTTTCCCCCAAGTTCCAGCTGTTTTTTCTCCCTGGATCTGTCTAATTTGCCCTCTAGTTCTGTCTGTTTTCCCCTCCCAATTCCAGCTGGTCCCAATCCACACAGTTTTGGCGAGTATTCCCTCAGTTATAGCTGTGTTTTTTTCCCTTCCCCATTCCAGTCACTCTTCCTCCCCAGTTTCAGCCAGTTTTTCCCCAGCCCTGACAATTTTCCCCCAGAGATGGAGGCCAAGTACACCAGGAAGATGCAAGCACTGCGGGATGAGATGGACCTGCGGAGGAAGACAGAGATCCATGAGCTGGAGGAGAGGAAGAACACTCAGATCAGCGAGCTGATGGGGAACCATGAGGAGGCTTTTGGTGCTATCAAGAACTACTACAACGATATCACTGCCAAAAACCTGGCACTCATCAACCTCCTGAAGGTATTGCCTGTCCCTGTGTCACCCCTTCACCCAGGGACTGCTGCTGCCAGGGTGTCAGCTGGATCTGGCAGTTTTGGTGTCAGTGTGGGTGCTTCTGGTGGCCTGTACACTGCCACATGAGTGGGGAGAGTGTCCTGCGGGGGACTGAGGGGCTTGGGCAGCTCCCAGGAGCCAGCACTTGTGTTCCCAAGAACAGGAGCAGGTGGAAGACCTGAAGAAGAAGGAGGCTGTCTTGGAAAAGGAGAAGGCAGAAGTGCTGCTCCAGAACAAGGGGCTGACAGAGCCTCTGCAGGAGGCCCAGGACCTGGTGGCTGAGCTGCAAAAGAAGTTGGCTCACTATAACAGGGACAAGGAGGCCCTGATGGTGAGTGGCCAGCCCTGTCCTTTCATGGTCTCCTTCCTGGAGGGAAAACACTCACCTCTCCCACTTGGTGTACTGTGATTGATGGGCAAAGCAAGTCCTGTTCTGCTTACTCTGTATTTGTGATCGCGATGGGGATCCAAAGAGAGACTGGAAGGGAGATCAACCCCACTGCAGGGGGGATGTTGCCTATTTTTTCTCTCTGCTGCTCACTCTCCTCCCTTCCCAGAACACATCTACACCACTTTCCAGACAATCTTGTGCTTTTTAACCCTCCCTGCCTGTTCACAGAGCTCGAAAGCCCATCTGAAAATCACTCAGAAGGAGCTGAAGGACCTTCAGTGGGAACACGAGGTTCTGGAGCAGCGGTTCAGTAAGGTGAGATCTGCAAGCAGGGCTGGGCATCCCATTCCCTCTCCAAACCTTCTCTAAACCCTCAGCAGGGAATAGGGCGTGGGGCTTAGCAGAGCCTGTACTTAGCCCTGGGCTTTCCAAAGCTAATCCAGAGCCGGGTGATAACCGCTGTTCCCAGCAAAGCTGCTCCCAGCTCCGGCCTCTCCCACGGTCAGCAGACAGGCCTGGCTTTGTCCTTTGCTAAGCAATCATGCACGCTCCAGCAGGGCCCCAGGCTGCCAGGGCTGCATGGGGCAGAGCTGGGAGAGGGGGGATTGCCACGGGCCCCTCCTTCTGCCAGTGTTCCAGGGTCACTTCCTCTCGTTGTTCTGGGGTGCTGGGGATGAGCCCTGCAGAACGAGTGCTCCCCCCCACTAACCCAGATAAATCTTAAGAGGTAGGAGAGAGCTCATTTGCAATTCGTAGAAATCCCCAGGAATATGAACATTGATCCGAGGCCTCATTAACAATCCATCATTAAGACAGCACCAGATTCGGAGCGTTCAGAAATAGGCTTTGGAGGAGAGACTGTGTCCTAATTAGGACACTTATTAACTAGCTGTGAGCCAGGGACTGCTGCCAGCTGTGGGGATGAGAGGAGAGACCCCCGTGTGCCGGGGGCCCTCGCTGGGGTCTGAATTAGTGCTGCAGGGAGCCCATTGGGGCATTCCAGGCCTGGAGGGGAGGAGGAGGGAGAAGCGCAGGTGCTGCGCCATGTAGGGAGGGAGACAGGGAGGGAAGAAGGGAGGGGGGGAAGCTGTGCTGCAGCACCTGCCTTCCCTGTGGGCTGCAGGTGCCGTGGGGAACAGCCAGGCTGAGCTGCTGGACCAGTTTTCTGCCCCCTTTGTGTTCCACACCATTAACAGATCCCAGTCAGCCTCGTGCAGGCCCCTGTGCCCCCTGGGGCCCTGAGGGTGCTGGGACACTCTGCTGTCTCCCGGAGCAGGTCCAGGAAGAGCGAGATGAGCTTTATCAGAAGTTCACCAGAGCCATTAACGAGGTACAGCAAAAAACGGGGTTCAAGAACCTGCTCCTGGAGCGGAAGTTGAAGGGACTCCTCGACCTCCTGGAGAAGAAGGAGGTGGAGCTCAGTGAGGTCCTTGCAGCCTCCAACCTCGATCCCAGTGCTCTCTCCTTGGTCACGAACAAGCTGGAGGTACTGGGGCCCAGCTAGGGCTGGATTTGGGGGGCGGGGGGCAGAGGCCACGGTGGGATGCCTGCTGCCTCTGGAAAGCACCAGTCCCCATCCTACATGGCTGTAGGTGGCACATCACTCCTTCCCAGCACTCCCAGGGCCACGTGTGGTGCCGTGGGGCACTCGGCTCTGCCTCGAGAGTGGAGCGTGTGGGTGGCAGAGTCTGGCACTGATCTGTAGCTCAGGTGGGGCCTGTTTTGAAGAGCATGGCCGCAGGCCCCATGGCACTGCCAGAACCCTGTGCTGCCACACAGCTGGGTGCCAGCGGGTCTGGTGGCACGCAGGGGCTCTGTGTGTTGAGGGGGGTGTCACACCTGGTGAGCCTCACCTGGCCATGGGGACAGTGCAGACAGGATCCTGGGGCTCTGCGGTGTCTGCTGTGCTAAAAATACCTCTGCAGAGAGCCTGGAGACCCACATTCCTGCAGCCTGCCGCAGCTGGAGCCAGGGAGCAGTGCTTGGTGCGGGTTGGTACAGACACAGGGAAGGAGAGCTCCACCACCTGGTGCCCTCCCGCTTGTCCCTGCCCAGGTCCCTGCCGCAGGGGGAGTCAGGGAGGCCTATGGGACAGGCAGCGGATGTGTCACCTCCCAGCAGGTGGAAGGAAAACACATTCCTGGGATGGCATCACTGGCGTCGGGCTCTCCTGCAGCTGCTGGGATCCTTGAATTCCTGCTCTCAGCTGCCTCAGGGAGCCTGGCTCTCTGTAATTCCCGTGGTGCCGTGGCAGCAGGGTGGTGCTGCTGGAGCAGGTGCCGCCACCACTCCCTGCACAGTGGGGCAGACTGGGATGGCTGTGGGAGCTCCCTGTCCTTGCCTGGGGCTGGCTGTCCCTGGCAGTGCCACTCAGAGGGGGCAGGGTGGTGGCCACCTGCCAGGCCATGCTGCTGGCTGCTCTGCTCACACTGCAGCTCCTCTGTGTGCTCTGCCACGCCACACCCGCCCATAGCATGGCCATCATGTCCCCAGGGCTGGGCAGCACAGCCTCATCCCAATCTCCCCTTGCAGGATGTGCTCCAATCCAAGAATGCCACCATCCAGGACCTGCAGTTCCAGCTGGCCCGAGTCTGCAAGGTAAGGGTGGGGAGGGATCCTGGAGAGGTTTGAGCTGTGTGCATGTGGCACTTGGGGACCTGGGCACTGCTAGGAAAACAGTTGGACTCGGTGATCTTAGAAGCATTTCCAACCCAAACGATTCTGTGATTCCATAGCTTTGGATTGGGGCTTAGAAATGAAACTAGGGGGTGCAGGGAGCTCCCCTCTGCCGACACAGAGGCTGACAGGGACCCTTTCCTCACAGGCACACAATGACATGCTGAAGACCTTCGAGGCAAAGCTGACAGCCTTTGGCATCCCCCTGGATAACCTGGGTTTCCAGCCACTGTCCTTCCCCTTCCCAGGGCAGGAACTGGGGCAAGGCCCTGCTGGACTCGTTTCAGTGCCCACTTGATGCCAGCAGCACTAAGGGTCACACTGGCACACTGGTAGTAGGGCTGTCCCCTTTTCCTGCTCCATGCCTTCCAACAGACCCCAGTGAGCATCTTTAGGAGATTCTCCTCCCAAGGGGGACCACAGCTGGAGGGCTCCAGGCATCCCGTCCACCCCACCAGGCTGCCCTTGGGGCTCCTTCTGTCCCCCTAAAAGTGGAAGGTGATTTTTTGAGAAAAACAGTGCTGTTTGGAGTTTTTAATGGCATCGGTGGCATCATTCCTGCATCCCCAGGGGAAGGCTGTGCCCCTCTAACTGCCCCGGTATGTTGTATAGGAGTAGGGACTGATCAGCAGCGGGACATGGAGCTTCTGTGCTGGGTCACTGATGATGAAGACGACCTGAGGAAGCGTGAGGAGACAGCAGTGGGAATCCCCCTCCTGGAGCGAGGCCCTGGGGAGTGCAGCCCCTTGAGCCTGGCCCCAGCCCCCAGACTTTGCATGTCACCTGTCCCAGTCCCCCCCCACTCCATACCTCCACGAAGGGGTAGAAGCTGGTGTGCCCCAGTCCCTGCCAGTACTCAGCCGTCTCAAAATGCAGCTTGTAGGTGCCAGACTTGGCCTGTCCCGGTGCCAGGAGGGGCTGGCAGCGCCCATCTGCATCCGTATGTCTGAAACCAGACCAAGCCAGTCCGGCTGTATCCCAAAATGCAGCCCTGCCCCACCCCGAAACACCAGCCCTGCCACCAGCATATAAACCCCAGATGAAGGCTGGGCAGCAGTTGTGCCAGGAGCCTTTGGCCAAGCTCACAGAGCACTGGCAGCAGTGTCCCTGCCCCATTCCAGTGCCACCAGCTCTCCTACCTCTGTGCCAGCTCCATCCACTGCGGTCCCGGCTCCTGCAGCTGGGCCAGGCGGACAACAAGGCCGGCTGCCGGCAGCCCCGTGGCCGTGTTCAGCACGTGAGTGGTCAGGGTGCCATTTCCCACCGCAGACATGTCGTCAGCCTGTGGGAGAGGGGGAAGCAGCGCTGGGACCTGTCCTGGCAGCTCCATCTACCTTCTCCTCGACTGTGCTGCAGCCAAGTCCCTGCACCTTGCTCTTCCCCAGAGCTGGGGTATGGAAATTCACGTCCTGATCATGCCACGGTGCTCAGCCCCAGGCACTGCAGCCGCTGTGCGTGGGTGCCAGCTGGTTCCCACCAGGATGCAGGTACTCTGGTGAGCAGCACCACGCTCCCCGCTCACCTGCCTGTCCTGATGAGCCTGAGCACAGCACAGCAGCCAGCCTGGACCCGGTGAGGAAGCAGCCCCGTCCCAGCAGCCTCATCCCTGCCCATGGAGTCACGTGCAGGCGGACATTGACCCTGCCCAGCTCTCTGGAGCTGTCTGGCGTCAAGGTCAGCCCTGCTGAGGGCAGCCATGCCCCTTTTTCTCCGGAGCTCCCAGGCTGGGGTGGGAGCACGATCTGAGGCTGTGTCCCAGCAGCTAGCAGGACCGGGCAGCCTCCCTGGAGCTGGACCAGTTCCCACTGCCAGCCTGATATCAGCACCGGCTGAAGTGGGGGTGCCACAGAGACACCCCGGCGAGCTTACCTGGCTGTCCTTTGTCCCACTCAGCCAGGGACCTGTGGCCGGTGACCCCGCACAAAACGCCATCCTTGGCCCTGGCTTCCCTTCCTGGCGCCACGGCCTCTCCCCGTGGAGCTGGTGTGGCTGGATGCCGCTATCCTGGCACGGGGCTCCCGCAGAACCGGGTGCTCCTCCCCAACTGGGCCGAGCCGGCACGGGCGGCTTCCCGCCCAGCCCCGCTGGCACCCCCTCTCCGGCAGCACCGTGGCCCTGAGGCTGGTGACCCAGAGCCCGGTGGGAAGTTGGGGCACCGGGCCAGGAGGAGCCACAGCACAGCTTCCATCCCTGCCTCGCCTCCCACCTTGGAAAGCACCTGGAGCGCATCGGAGCTGCGGCAGCCGGGCACGTGGGAGCAGCACCGGCTTCAGCACAGGCTCTCCCTGCCCTTCTGCACTGCTGGGGCAGGGGGGGGCTCAATGTCTCACCTGCACCGCGATGCGGGCGGTGGCGGTGGCTCGCAGCCCGTATCCCCCCAAGTCGGCAGCCTGGATCTCCAGTGTGTATTCAGGGACCTCCTAGGGCGAGAGGCTGTGTCAGCCACAAGTGGGGGATGAGCTCGGTGGGAGCTGAGTCCGGGGCTCACCTGTGCCACCAGCCCCAGCATGGCCACAGAGACCAGCCCAGAGCTGCTGTCGATGGTGAACATCCCAGGCTGGGGCTTTTCCGGCACCTGGCTCAGGATGGAATAGCTCACAACTCCATTGTCGGAGTTCACGGCGTCATCTGCATCGGTGGCCAGCACCCGCAGCACCGATGTGCCTGGAACAGGCGGTTATTGGTGAGCTGTCACACATCTCTCCAGTGCTGCCTGCCAGGTGGTGGCAGTGGTCCCACCTGGCTCAGCTCCCTCCAGCACAGAACCGTGGAAAACTGCTTGGGTGAAGACGGGCCGGTTGTCATTCTGGTCAGTGACGGTGATGATGATCTCCATGGGGTCTTCCACGGGCTGCCCGTTGGCTGACACGGCGTGGGAGTAGAGCTGGAAGGGTACAGTCAGTGTGTGTGCAGTCCCCAGGACCGTCCCCGTCCTGCCACAGATGCCCCCTCACTCACCACGTATTTATCCTTCTCCTCCCGGTCCAGGGGTTCTGTCACCTCCAGCCACCCCGTCTCCCGCTCGATGATGAAGACACCCACAGGGGGAATATCCACTCCCTGCCCCGTGATGCTGTAGAAAACCTTGGTCTCTTTGTCCTTGTTGGATTTGATCTGGCAGCATGGCAGGAAGAAGCAGGTGGAGACGTGTCCCAGCACTCTGGGGACCCCCCTGACCCTGCCTGGTCGCTGTGGGGACACATACCTGCACCAGCTTCTTGGGGAAGGGTCCTCGCTCATTCTCAGGGCAGATGATGGGGGGGATGACCCAGTCCCTTTTCTGCCGCTGGAGGCCGTGTCCATGCTCTGGGAAGATCAGCGTGTCCTGTGGGATGGAGAGCGGGGCTGCAGGGCCATGGAAAGACACGGCTCTTCCTGGAACCTCCGGGGGGATGGCCATGCAACATCCCCGGCCCCATTGCGATGGTCCCACCAGCAGTAGGAGGAGGAAGGTGCAGGGGCAGGGTGCCATGGCTGCAGCTGCACTGGCTCTTCCCACCCAGGTACCAGCTGAGAACCTTCCCTGTTGCGTCAGTGACCTTGGCCAGGAAAGCAGAACCGCCTTTCCAGAGCTGCTAGCCCGGGGGGGGCCTGGGGGCGCTGTATGGGGGGACCCAGCACACGAGAAGCTGCTCCAGGCTGGGGGCATGAGCCCCCTGGGGCTGTCCCTCGGTGGCCATGGGAACCCCCACTACAGTGGGGCTGGGGGGCACACACAGATTTCCCCCCCCCGGCAGTTCCAGTGCACCCATAGATGGCAGAGGGGGGAGGAGGCAGCCGGCGGTGGCACGGAGGAATGGGGAGGGGAGGGTGCTCCTGCGGTGGGGATGGTGGGAGGTGCCAGGGTTGATGGGAACACGGGGAGGAAAGAATGGCGGCACCACGAAGGTGCCTGGAGATACCGGGATGCCCGAGAGTGTCCACGGGGCTGCGCTGAGGGGCCCGGGACACCGGGGAGCGGCACTAAGAGGCGGGGGGTGCCCGGCGGGGAGTGGGCGGTGTCCGACGATTGCCGGGCCCTGCCGGGGAGTGCCAGGGGGTTCCAAGGCGATACCGATGGGTACAGACTGGGGAGGTGCCCCACGAGTAACTGGGGGTGACCAGGGGTTAACGGGGAGTATCGCAGATTGCCGAGGGTTGCCAGGGCGTTCCAAGAGGTTACCAAGAAGTGCCCCAGGGTTTCCGGGAGGTATTACGGATTCACAGGAGGATTTCAGAGGGGTGCCGGGTGTTCCCGGAGGGTATTGAAGGTTCCAGTATTGGGCGGTGCCCGAGGGGTACCAGGCTCTGCCTGGATTTGACGGGTGGGTGCCTGGGAGATAACATGGGGTACTGGGGATTGCCGCGAAGTTCCAGGGGAATACTGGAGTTGCCCGGGTGGTATCGGGGTGTTGTATCGGGGGCTGTCGGAGGTTTCCAGAGGGGTACCACGGTGTAACGGGGATTGCCGGGGGTGTTGTAGGGGCTGAACCCCTGGTGGGAGCGTCGGGGGATAATGGAAGCGTTCAGGGCCTTACTGGGGGATGCCTGGGGCGTGCCGGGGGCGCTCTCCGGGGCAGGGCGGTACCTGCGCGGCCGCCGCCTCACCTGGGGCGTTGCGGGGCGGGACGGGAAGGACGGGGCGGGGCGCGGCAGGCGGCGACCGGAGCGGCGGCGGCGGCGGCAGCAGCAACGGACGGGCCATGCGGGGGGAGCGCTCCGGGCTCTGCCCGCGCTCCATCTTCATCCTCCTCCTCTCCCCGCTCCTGCCGGCGGCCGCCCTGTCCCCAGACCCGCCGTGCGTCCTCACGGGGCTGCGCCGCGGGCCGCTCCCCGCACCAGGTAACTCGCACTGTCGGGGCGAGGCGGCACAGAAACCCCCGGAACACCTCGAGGACGGGCTGGGGCCGCGATCGGGACCGAGATAGGGTTGGCAGGGCCTCCCTCACTGCCGGCATCAGGATCTCTTTGCCCCCGGGGCTGGGGCCGCTGCTTTTCGGGAGGACTTCGCGGTGCCCGCCCCGGCTGTGGGACTGCGCCTGGGGATGCCTGCGCTCCTGTGGTCTAGGTCTGTGCTTCACCCCCGGCTGTGGGACTTTGCCATAGGGCTGGCTGTGCCCCACGGAGCTGGCGGTGTCCGTCTGATCTCACGGGGCTGGTGGCCGTGTGACTGTGATGCCAGTGCCTTTGGCCCAGCCGTGGGGCGCCCGCAGCGAGCAGGGCTGGGTCCCCGCAGGGTGGGTTGCCGGAGCCGGGCTGGCATTGGAGCTGGTTCTCCGGCCGTGGGGTGCGGGCTTTGGCTGGCCCGAGGCTGGGCAGGGTCTTGCTGCTGCCAGCTCTTGGCCCGCTGCCGGCCCGGGCCCGTTGCCCTCTTCGCTCGGCGGGTCCCGGGAGACTGGGGCTGCCCGGGAACGCGGCCGGAGCCAGCACTCGTCTAATGGCCGCGGGAGCACTAAAAGCTCTCCTTGGCGGTAAATGCCAGGGAGAGGCCTCGACCTCCGCCTGCTGTGGACACCACATCCCGTTTCCATCAGCTAAGCCTGCCAGGACTGGAGGTGGGTGCTGCCAGGCCCTTTCTGTGGGCTCACGCTGGGGTCTGGCCGTGTCCCTGCGGCGCCCCTCCGTGGGAAGCACATGGCCCCAGCACCGCCCGTGCGGCTCCACCTTGGCACCCAGCGGGCATGGTGCCCTGCCTCCATGGAGGGACCCCCGAGGACATAGTGGGGTACTCTCTGTGCCGCCTGGCCCTGCGGTGGGAACAGCAACCCGTGCCACAGCTGGGGAGCGGGACTGGGGGATTCCTCGGGCTCCTTGTGCCCCGCTTGCCAAGGTGATTGATGCCCCTCCAGCCCCAGTGAAGTCTCTTATCGCGGCCATCGCGACTGGAAGGGGCCCCGGTACTGCCCTCAGGGCACGGTTGCTGCTCCCCACATGGCCCCACCGTCGCCACTGGGCTCGCTCCCTCTGGTGTGGAGCAGCCATGGGGCACAGCTCTCCCTGGCCCATTCCACGCCTTCCGCAGCCCCCCAGCCCCGCCCTGGGCCGCTCGGCCGCCCGGAGCTGGCTCAGCTCCGCTAATCCCCTAATCCTTCCCCCGGGGGGTGCGGAGCCCGGGCTGTGTCCAGCACGAGGGATGCAGCGTGGGAGGCGGGGGGAGGGAGATTCAGTGCCCAATGATCTGGCCACGGGGGGTTGGGAGCCCCGAGGGGGTGACACACCGGGAGGGGGCTGGGGCAGGGCTCTGGCCGCCGAGGAATTTCCCATCATCTGTGAAACAAAGCCGAAACTTCCACCGAAACTTCCACCGCGCTCCCGTACGGCGCCCGGTGTTCCCTGCCCCGCTCCTGGTGTCCTCTTCTACCGTCCCCTGCCTCACTTCCCCTCGCGACTCTGGGGCGTTGCAGGGTCCTGGAGCTGATGGTTGTGGCTGGGGGGTGCCGGGGGAGAGGTCCCCACATCCCGTGACCCCTCATCCTCGCAGGAAACTCCCGAGGCTGCGCGGGGCCACACAGGACGGAGAAGCCCGATGTAGGGCTGCGGGAGGACGGGGGCCCCGTGCGGCTACCGCGGGTGGGCAGGGCACTCGCCGTACCCCCCCGAGATGCTGGTGCCCCATGGTATGCAGCTGGCCAGCCAGATCCTGCCTCAGTTCCCGCAGAGAGCAGGCGCTACCCGCAGGTAATGCTGCACCCCATATCCCCCACCCTCTGCTCCCCCAGCTGGCTGTACCCTCACTCACTTCCGTGCCACAGGAGCTGCCCAGGGCTCACGCTGGTCTCAGGAGGCAGAAGAGGGACTGGGTGATCCCCCCCATCAAGGTTCCTGAAAATGAGAGGGGTCCCTTTCCCAAGAAACTGGTTCAGGTATGAGGCTGATCTTTCTGGGCATGGAGGTGGTTGCTGGGGGTGCATCCCCACTGCATCGGGGCAGGGTACGCTGGGGGGATGCTGACCCCATCCCCTTGGTCTGTGTCTCCTCCCAGATCAAATCCAACCGGGACAGAGACACCAAGATCTTCTACAGCATCACAGGGCAGGGAGCAGATGCCCCCCCCGAGGGTATCTTCACCATTGAGAAGGAGTCAGGTTGGATGAAAGTGACGAAGCCGTTAGACCGTGAGCACATCCACAAGTACCACGTAGGTCCTTGCCTGGGGGACACCAGGGGATGGTGGGGTGCTCTGCCAAGCCCCCCACTCACACCCCACCCCGCAGCTCTTCTCCCATGCCGTGTCTGAGAATGGGAAGCCAGTGGAGGAACCGATGGAGATCATCGTGACAGTGACAGACCAGAATGACAACAAGCCCCAGTTCACACAGGAGGTGTTCAGGGGCTCGGTGCTAGAGGGAGCTCTGCCAGGTAGGACCCTGGGCCTTGGGGAAGCTCTGCATCCCAACATCCATGTTCCTTGGGCACAGCCCTGGCACTGACCATCCCAGCATCCTACTTAACTGCACATTAACATCCTCAGGCACCTCCATCATGCAGGTGACAGCCACGGATGCAGATGATGCTGTGGAGAGCTACAATGGTGTCATCGCCTACTCCATCCTCAGCCAGGAGCCACGGGAGCCCCATCCCCAAATGTTCACTATCAACCGGGCCACTGGCACCCTCGGTGTGATTGCCAGTGGCCTCGACCGGGAGGTGGGCTCTTCAGCACTGGGGGGCAGGGGTCCCAGCCCCAAGCAGGGGCTGACAGAGTGTCTCTATGTCTGTCTGTCCTCAACAGCGTGTACGGGAGTACACACTGACAGTGCAGGCAGCCGACCTGGATGGTGAAGGACTGACTACTACAGCGCTGGCCGTGATCGAGATTGCTGATGTCAATGACAATGCCCCTGAGTTTGACCCCAAAATGGTAATGTGGGGGCCCGTAGGGGGTGTGACCCTCCTTGGTGCCGGCTGTCCTGTGGTGCTGATGGTGCCCCTGACCCACAGTATGAGGCGGCCGTGCCAGAGAACGTGGCTGGGCGGGAGGTTGCCCGGCTGGCTGTCACTGACCTGGACGAGCCTGGCACGCCGGCCTGGCGAGCCGTGTACACCATCCTGCGCGGCAACGACGACGGTGCCTTTGCCATCACCACTGACCCTGCCAGCAACGAGGGCATCCTCCGCACTGCCAAGGTCTGTGTCACCCCGTGTGCCATTCTACCTCTGACCCATGTACGCCATCGGTGCCCACAGTAGGGTCCTGCGTGTCCCACTCTCACTGCCTGTGTCTCTCCCATCCCAGGGTCTGGACTACGAGGCCAAGCAGCAGTTTGTGCTCCACGTGGCAGTGGCCAACGAGGTCCCCTTTGTCGTGAAGCTGCCGATGGCCACGGCTACAGTGACAGTCACTGTGGAAGATGTCAATGAGGCCCCAGTGTTTGTGCCTCCAGTGCAGCTGGCCACGGTGTCAGAGGATGTGCCCCCAGGGCAGACCCTCACCGCCTGCACAGCC